GCCATTATGGTCAGTTACTATTTGACAAAGGAGGCAAGAGCATACAATGGAGTAAAGACAGTCTCTTCAATAAGTGGTGCTGGGAAAATTGGACAGATACATGCAAAAAAATGAAACTAGACCACCAACTTTCACCATACACAAAAGTAAACTCAAAATGGATAAAAGTCTTAAATATAAATCGTGAAACCATAAGAATCCTGGAAGAAAACATAGGCAGTAGAGTCACAGACATCCCACATAGTGGAATTTTCACTGATACATCTCCTAGGGTAAGAGAAACAAAAGAAAAAATAAACAAATGGGACTACATCAAACTAAAAAGCTTCTGCACAGCAAAAGAAAACAGCCTCAAAATACAAAGGAACCCCACGGTCTGGGAAAACATATTTGCCAAGGATGTATCTGATAAGGGGCTAAAATTTCCAAAGTGGACAAAACTCATACTACTCAGCAAGAGGAAGACAACCAACCCAATTAAGAAATGGGCAAAGGACCTGAATAGACACTTCTCCAAAGAGGACATACGGATGGCCAAGAGACACATGAGAAAATGCTCGACGTCGCTAATCATCAGAGAGATGCAAATTAAAACCACAATGAGGTATCACCTCACACCTGTCAGAATGGCTTCATCAACAAATCAACAAACGACATGTGCTGCCGAGGGTGTGGAGAAAGGGGAACGAACCCTGGTGCACTGCTGGTGAGAATGCAGACTGGTGTAATCAATATGGAAAACAGTACGGAGTTTCCTCAAAAAATTAAAAATGGAGCTGCCTTTTGACCCAGTGATCCCATTTCTAGGAATATATCCTAAGAAATCTGAAACACTAATCAGAAAGAATATATGCACCCCGATGTTCATAGCAGCCCAGTTTGCAATAGCTAAGATCTGGAAACAGCCCAAGTGCCCTTCAATTGATGGATGAAAAAGCTGTGGGACATTTACACCATGGAATACTACGCAGCTGTAAAGACGAAGGATCTCATACCCTTTGGGACAGTATGGAGGGACCTGGAGAAAATTATGCTAAGGGAAATAAGCCAGGCAGAGAAAGACAAACATCACATGATCTTGCTTATATGTGGAATCTAAAGAACTTAATAAACTGATGAACAGAATAGATTCAATGACGTGGAAGCATAAATCAGACGAATGTCAGAGGGATGGAGGAGGGCGGGTCGGTGGAGGGGGAGAGATTAACCAAAGAATTTATATGCATATATGCACAACCCAAGGACACAGACAATGGTGGGGAGAGGGACTGGGGAGAGGCATGGGACAGGGTGGAATGAGTCATTGGTGAGAAAAAGGGACATCTGTAATATTTTAAACAAACAAACAAAAATACAGGTGTGCTCTCCCTCCTGGGAGTACTCCCATATCTTTCCCCTCCTCCTCCCTCTCTTCTTCCCCAACAGGGGTGCATCGCCTAAACTCTAATGAACCCCATGAGGCTTGCAACCAGGGCAGCAATGGGCAGTGGCAGTTTGTCCCCAGCAAACCACCTGAACCTCTCCCCCAAGACCCACTTTTGTTTGACTTCTTAGTGAGCCAAAGCAGCCCATCCTGGGCTCATTTCCCCCACCTAGTCTGTCTTCTATTATCCTATGTCCTTCCTTATTTCACTGTCCTCAGCTTTAATAAATGTCCTCTAAAATTAAAAAACAAACAAAAAAAATACATTGCTCCTGCCAGCATAGCAGAACAGGCCAACAGCCTCTCATCCTGGGATTAATGTAATAATTTCCTAAACTAGTACCTTTCTTCTGGTCTAATCCATGCTGTAACTATTCTGACACTGACATTTTAGGAAATGATTTTTGTACTTCACATTTTAGCATTATTAAACATTTGCTATATGCATGAAACTGTAAAGGACCATGAGAATTTTTATCTCAGTTTGTATGAGTTTAAATATAATTGTGATTTCTTCTTTCAAATTACTATTTATTTTAAATAAGTTGGTCTTTTTTTTTTTTTTTAATATATCTTTATTGATTACAGAGAGAGGAAAAGAGTGGGAGGGAGAGAGACAGAAACATCAGTGATGAGAGTCATTGATCAAGCCCGCAACCGGGCATGTGCCCTGACCGGGCATCGAACCCTGATCACCTGGATCCTAGGTCGACGCTCAACCGCTGAGCCAAGCCCAGCCGGGCTCAAGTTACTTATTGTTTAGTTGAAGAGACCACAGAAACAGTTGAGAAGTTTAATAAATAATAAAATTTAATATATTTTTTCTCTTTTTTCCCCCCTCTAGGCTCCTGTTGTATGTAAATCTTGTGGTTATGTGTTTATTAATAGGAAACTTCTAAAAAGAAAACATTCAAAGAAATCATCACCTTTTACAGGTAATTGCAAGTTTACTATCTTTCCATGTTTATGGTTTCTATTATATGGCTTAAAATTAATTTTTGTGAATTGCTGAAGTTATAATATTAAAATCTTTGAGCCCTGGCTGATGTTGCTCAATTGCTTTTGCATCATTCTATGTATCTCGAGGTTGCTGGTTCAATTCCTGGTCAGGGCACATGCCTGGGTTTCAAACCCTTTTCCCAATAGGGTGCGTGCAGAAGGCAACCAATCTATGTTCCTCTCCCCCTCTCCCTTTTTTTTTTTTTGTTGGCACTATTACATATGGGACAGTTCTTTAAGGTTTTTCTATTGATTTTTAGAGTAAGAGGAAGGGAGAGGGGGAGAGAGCAAGAAACATCGATCAGTTGCCTCTTGCACACCCCCCACCATACCAGCCAGAGCTGGAACAGTTCTTCTTTACAGTAGAATTTCAATTAATAACTGTGGAAGAATTGAGGATAATAGAAAATCAGCACTAGCTAAATAGTAATACTTATTGCAGACAAGATTTACCAATGGATGGTAAAACTGATTAGTGAAAATTTGAGGAGAAATAAAATTTGTATAGAATCAAACTATTGCCCCCAGATCTTCATTAACCACAAAGGGGAAGATAAGAACTTTACAGGGATGAAACCTGTCAAAATTTACCTTAATCAGGGATTAAGGTGAACATCACAATAATAAAACATATTGACATCATGAAACCTGTGATAATGCACTGATAAGGGTACATCAATTTTGTGAATTCTTTTGTGAATCATTAGAAAACATCAGCTAAAAACAATAAGAAGAAAAAAAGAAAGAAAACATCAGCCAAATTCAAATGAGATACATTTGACAAAAGAATCAACCGATCAGTATTCTGCAAAAGAGTCAAGGTCATGCCCGTCTGGGCGTGGCTTAGCAGTTGAGCCTCGACCTAGGATCCAGGAGATCGAGGTTCGATGCCCAGTCAGGGCACATGCCTCGGTTGAGGGCTCGATCCCCAATGACTCGTTCATCATGGGTGTCTCTCTGTCTCTCTCTCTCTTTCCCTCTCCTTTCCTCTCTCTGAAATCAATAAAGATATATATAAAAATTTTTTAAAAAGAGTCAAGGTCATGAAAGATGACGGAAGACTGAGGCACTGTCAGAGGTTGGAGGAGACTAAGGAGACAGGACAAGTAACTATAATGTGGAATTTCTTTTACAATCGCCTGTTTTTTGCCTAATGGAATCTGTTTTCTCTTTGAACTTTTGAGGCATGTTTTAAAATATCTTATTTTAACTTGTCTTAAAATGTCTTTGTTTTAGATTGTTCCATTATTTGTATGTTGTTCTGAGGTATGAATCCTCATGTGACCCCCTCATCACAGCGGTTTTGAGCCTCCTCTCACTTATGCATTTGGGAACTTCTTTTGCTTTTGGATTTAGGTCTGTATTAAAACAAGTTTTGTCTTTTGGTTGTAGCTTAACCAGCATGTTTGTTTGAAGTGGAAGAGGTGGCTTCATGCATCAGTTAAATCTATATCAACAGGAAACCTTTCTTCTCAACTTCTGTTCCATTTAGGAACAACAGGGTAAATTGCTTTCAGTATATTAAGGACTAAAATAAAACTACTCACTTTCCTAATATTATCTTATAGTTGCAATACATATTTTTTGGTTTTTGGTAACAATATATTATGGTTGAGGTCAGATTTTTTCCTGCTCTTGTAATAGAAGATTAATTATTGACTTATTTGAAATAACTTAATTTAGAATTTAAGCAAGGATATTTTACCATCTTAGAAGCAGAGGGGAGGAAAAAAAAGAAAAATTGCTATGGAGGGCTGGAATTAAAACTATTGAAAAAGAAATCTTCCCCATACTGCCCAACAATTTACCCAAATATTGTCCAGAATTGGGTTATGCTGAATCTCTTCCCCTCTTTTTAAAAACCTCTGATGGGTTTAGGAAACGTGTGTTATGGTTGCATTTTAAACAGTACACTAGGCAGTGGACTCTAGTGCCATTTAGAATACATGACTGCTGGGGTAAGGTGCTAACATAGGCGAGCAGTTCTTTCACGTCCCTAAAATATATTATTTTTATTCATCTACACCAAAATTAAGTATGAAGCCGGGAGCAGTGAAATAGGCAAAAGAAGATAAAGAGGTCATGAAGTAGCAGTCATTCAGATCATATGAGACAGGGAAGAGGAAGACCTAAAAATACTGTCAGAAAACATAAGAAACAGGTATTTGTTAGCCCATTATGGGAGAATTTTTTCCAATCATCAAACTGATTTGTCTTAATTTGATAGCACTGAATTTAAAAACACAACTTATATCTTAGTTCAAAAGCATTTCTTCTATGGTAGATGCTTATAGAATTACTGGCAATTGTATTCCTATTGGGAAACCTAAAGATTTAAAAGTAACATCCACCTGATAGAAACTGATGACAGCAGAGAGCAGTGATCAAAACACTTATCCTCCAAATGAGATTGCTGATACTTCACCAGTTAAAACTTAACCATGACGGTCAAGTTGATATCAGTCTGTTTTCAATTGTGTTGTTTAGTATTCATAGTGATGATATGCTCTTCAGTTTTCTTTGATGATTGAGTTCTTATTGTTTATTTTCTCCACAGAAGTGAAAAATACCATGTCTTTGAAAGATTTGCGAATACTTTTTTTATATGAATTTAAACTAGGACATAGTGCAGCCACAGCAAGTAGAAACATCATTTCTGTCTTTGGAGAAGGCTATGTTAGTGAAAGGACTATCTGGTGGTCGTTTGAAAAATTTCGGTCTGGAGAGCTGAGTCTGAAAAACGAGCCTCGAGGAAGACCCAGGTCTGTTTTAAATGAAGATGAGTTGAGAGTCATGGTGGAAGCTAACCGCAAAACAGCAATTCGAGACCTTGCAGTAGACTTAGGAGTTTCTGCTACAACAATTTCTCTACACCTGGCTGCAATCGGAAAGGTGAAAAAATTGGACAAGTGGGTAACAGCAGTTGATGGACGATCATAAGCTGAGATGGTTAAAGATATGCTCCTTAAGATTTGAAAGAGCAGAGACCCTATGAGAGCATCATAAGCTGTGACAAAAAATCAAAAGTTATCTGGACAGTGATTGGATGTTGATGAAGTTCCCAAATGTGTTAAAACTATCGTTCAGCCAAAAATGGACTTGGTAACTGTTGGTGGTATGCAAAAAGGGTATTTCATTACTGCTTTAAAAAAAAAATTTTTATCATTGAAAGTATTACAGATGTCCCCCTCTTTTCCCCCATTGACCTCTTCCACCCTGCCCCCGCACCCCCCAGGCCTTCACCACACTATTGTCTGTGTCCCTGGGCTAAACATATATGCATATAAGTTCCCTGGTTAATCA